GGCAACAAGCGCACCCCTGAGCGGGCCGACCCCTGCCAATCCCCCTGCCCCGCTCACCACGCGCCCCGGGACCCCCGTTCCCTTTACGCAGGGCGAGTCTGTAGCTCTGGGCTGGTTTTACCAACAAAAACCATCCAGCCGGTGCCGAAGAGGTCTGCCAAAGCTGTGCCTGTGCCATGGGAATATCCCCTGGGAAGGGGGGCTCCGCGGGACCAGGCTGCCTTGGAAAAGGACATTAAACATGGGAAATAATTCCAATGGCCCCGTCCCCAACGCTCTTTGGGTCCAGCTCCCCGATGCTCTTTGGGTCCAGCTCCCCGATGCTCTTTGGGTCCAGCTCCCGCCCTCGCCAGTACTCTGTGAGCCGCATTTCAATTCTCCTCACTGTGCTCAACAACCGCAGGTGTTTGCTAATCTCCCATTAAAGAAAAGAAATGCAATTAACATACTGTATGCGCAGCCTAATGCCCACATAATAGCTGTCATTACTCAGAGACTCTGTCTTTGGCCATTTCCCATTTAAATTGAGGCCCGAGGGCTGCACCGGGCTGCAGTTGCCGGGAGTAAAAGTAAAATCTGCAAACTAAATAAAAGCCTCTTACGAAAAAACGAGAGGAGACGTCTCCGTGTGAAACTATTCCTGGGCACTTCTGCGGGTCCCCTAAAATGTGTTTGTATGAAAAATCCAATCAATCGTACCCAAGAGAGCTGATTACAGCAGCAGAAAGAGCAGCATTGAGGACATGAAGACACTTTTACACGGGCCCAGCAAATGTGCACAGGGCTCGTCACAAACCATGTCATCCTCATCCGCACCTCCCCTCTACGCTCGAGCTCAGACCTGAAGAACCAAAACTTTCTCAGGCTTCCAAACAACATCGTAAGGTGGTTTTTAGTTTTGGTTTTTGGAAACACCTCGCCATCCTCTACTTCTTCTAACCAATCTGCCAAACAAAAATACACAGTTTACTAATGCAAAAACTGCAGCGAAAAGCTGAGCCCGGCTATATTCCAAACACGCTGCATAACAGGCTGCAAAAGCCCAGCCATCCTCGCTCATTTGCTGCCTGCAGAAACAGACTCAAAATCCCAAGAATTAACTCCTGGAATATATTTAGCTCTATCAGTAAGCCTACTTAATTCTTGATGTGCTCAGCACGGACCGCTATTCACAGGGGATATTTGAGGGCAGCCAGAGCATCGTCCCCCAGGCAAAGGGGGAAATGGCAACCCAGCGCGGGGCCTGGATGGATGCGCCGAGGGATCCGGATCTGCTGAGACTGAGCCGCTCCCAGCGAGTGACAAGGGCTACTTGTCACCATTGGAGGGGATTCGGGGCCAAGACGCTGGGGGTCCTGCGATCTGCAGCAGCTGAGTGCCCACGGGGCGACACGACATTTACAGCCGCCTTTGAAGACATCAAGAGAAGTTTGGGCCGCTTTCGTCCCTGTTTTTTACAGGTGATCAGGGGGGATTCCTTCTGCAGGACTGACATCTCCTGCCCTGGACGAAGGCACACCGCGGGGCAAAGCCCCGTTAGGGAGAGGGCAGCGCTGCCGCTGCGCACCCAAATAACAACGGGGGGTTTTCCCCCCACCCAGACCCTCTGCTCCCAGGCGCAGCTCGCTGCCGCTGTCTGGAGCCCTCACCCGCGTTTTGGCGGATGGCACCCTGCAAGTTTGGCACCCTTTCACACCCCGAACCTCCATCCAGGGCACCGTCAGAAAAAGCATTTCTGCAGTCATTTCTTCACACGCCGCCTCTCCAGATCACCTCCCTGGCCTGCACTTCGCACAAGGACACACGCAAACCACTTCAAGCAGAAGGAAAGTGAAGCATTTCCCTCCTGGACCTTGTTGTGAGGACCAGCCGGCTCCTGCCGCAGCGGCCCAGCTCCAGCGGTCAGCAGCCGGCACTTTTTAGCCCCAAAACACTTTTGGATACTTTGAATTGAGTCGATGCTTTTCTCAGCGGTCTGCAGATGCCCACGCACCAGGAGCGAGCCGACCGGCTTCCTACGGTACGAACACGCCCGCGCTGTGGACTCGGGGAAAACTAACCACGTAGTGTGAAAATCAGGAGGGCAGCAGACGCTGCCGATGCCGTCCCGGCGCCCGGCCACAGCCCCCTCTGCCCTCCCCCTCCTGCTCCCTCCCCAGGCAGCCACTGCGGTGTGCCACGGTGGCCACCAACCCCGGTACTGACACGTCGGATGCTCCAGAGGTTCTGGTGGCACCAGTATGAGGCGGTGAGAGGTCTGTGGTGCAGCCGAGTGCTTCACACCAAAACCTGCCACCTTCCACCTTGACAGGCTGGGAGAGTTGGGGGGGTTCAGCCTGGAGAAGAGAAGGCTCCAGGGAGACCTCAGAGCCCCTTCCAGTGCCTAAAGGGGCTCCAGGAGAGCTGGGGAGGGACTTTTTCCAAGGGCATGGAGCGATGGGACGAGGGGGAATGGCTTCAGACGGGCAGAGGGCAGATTGAGATGAGATGTGAGGAAGAACTGTCTCCCTGTGCGGGCGGTGAGCCCCTGGGGCAGGTTGCCCCGAGAAGCTGTGGCTGCCCCATCCCTGGAGGTGGTCAAGGCCAGGTTGGACGGGGCTTGGGGCAACCTGGGCTGGGGGGAGGTGGCCCTGCCCAGGGCAGGGGTGGCACTGGGTGGTCTTTGAGGTCCCTTCCAACCCAAACCATTCTATGATTCCACCGGCGGGAGCTGTGCCGGGCTGTTTTAGCATGCCAGCCCCTTATTCATCATTTATTTCCCTCTGCTTTTTACTGGAAGTTCCTGGATGAATGTAGGAAGAAGCGACTTTTCCCCACAATACAACAGAGGATAAAGGGGTACTGACGCTGTTTGGGGGGAGACACAGACATGGTGCTGTGTGAGATCCAGTGGCAGTTGGCCACTGCCTCCATCACTGGAGGAGAGGAGAGGAGAGGAGAGGAGAGGAGAGAATCTGGCTAGATGGAAAACAACATGGAGAAGAGAGGAGGAGGAGGAAGAGGAGAGGAGGAGAGGAGAGGAGAGGAGAGGAGAGGCTACGTCCCTGCCTGAGCTGTCCTTTGTCTCCACATGACATTGGAGGAGGACGGCCGGTGAGCAGTAGCTGCTACCCAAAAGGTGTCAGTCCCCTAATCACCCAAAGGGACCTGATGGCAAATCCCAAGCCCTCTCCTGGGTGCAGGACTCACAAGGGACCTTGCAGCCTGACGGCAACACCACTGACACTTGCCAGGACCAAGCGCAGGGCAGACCCAGGGGACACCACTGAGTTCTTCAGCACCACTGAGGAGCTTCAACCACGTCACGTCTCCTCTAATAACATTCTCGACAAATGGTCCCAGAGACACGACGGGTGTCTCGGTGAGCCCTGGGGCTGACCCATCTGCCCTTCTTCACTTTCTGCATTCCAGGTTCATTTAAAGCTTCTCGACCTGGGTGCAAGCCCGGTTGAGGAACTCACTGCCAGCTTCGTTTTAAAAGGTGATGGAGATCTTGCAGAGAGCCGCACCAGACCCTGGCGCAGGCAGAGCAGGCGCCACCACTGCCCCAGCGGCGGTCCCCGCTGCCACAGCCGGGTCTGGGGTCTCACTGCCGTGGGCACCTTTAAACATCTGTAGTGAATTTTATCCAGCATTTAATGGACCCTGCGTGCCCCAAACCTGCCAGTTTGGGAAGTGAAAACCACAGCTGGCATTGCCCACCCACCCCTCGGGTGAGGCCGAAGCGCGTCTCGCCCCCCTGCCCCAGGGCACAGCGGGCAAGGGATGCAGCTGCACCCTGCGCCGGGCGCAGCGGAGGCACCGCCGCGGCGAGCTGATGGCGGAGCGAGGGGGCCTGCCCCGTCCCTGCCCTGGGGGAAGGTGACTGCCCTGGTCCCCGGCTGGAGGGGGACGTGTGGTGCCCACGCCATGGCAGCGCTCCGTGCCCTCAGCACGCTCCCCCTGGCACGCCTGTACCCGGTCCACACCTCTGTAATCACCTTCTCCCGAACAAACCGTTTGCAAAGGCAACGGTGAATTATTTGTGGCAATAACGGCCAAAGGCTCCAGGGGAAAAACGCAGAAACCTTTAGCAAAGGCGCCAGCCCAGCTGCCTCGGAGCCCCGACCCTCCGCGCCACGGCCGGCGGGGGGCCCGGGCTGTCGTGCCCCCGAGATCCACAGTCATGACTTGTTTTCCAAAGCTGCAGCAATTTCTCAGCGAGTGCTCTTCATGTCCTTCCTTCTGGCAGAGCGGCGTGAAGAGCCCCTAAAGATAGAAACTCGAGAGAAGCGCTGTCAAGTTTCTGCATCGCAGTTTATCACCCATTTCTCCCAGAGCATTCATGCCGCTTTACGTCAAAGGGATGTGGCTAATTACTTCCAGGGGACATCAAGGGAACGGGAGACACTCAAACCCCTCCCGACAGACCGAGCACACGTAATGACACCCTGAGCTAGGGACGTGCTCAGGCACCAACGGCTGATTCAGAAGTGGCAAGAGGATTAGCAGAAATCAGGCTCCGGTAGGAGAACGCTGCTCCTGCCCGAACCCACCTTCCTGTGCCGGCCAGGTCCCGCTGGAAGGGGGATTCCAGTTGGAAGGAGAGATTTTGGAGAGCTGCGGGGAAGGGCACGCGGCTGGGCAGCCGTGCTGTGCTGGCAGGATGGCAGGGAGGTGGCGATGGGCGTTACGGTGAGCAGCGCTCTACTCGCAGCACTTCGCTCGGGGAACGCGGGTTTTGTGCCCGAAGATGCCGGCAGTGGGTTCACACCCGCGGTACCGCTCCCCGCCAGCCTGCGCGGCTCCACGCGCCACCAGGGCACGGTGGGGATTCCCACACTTTCCCCCCACAGCTGGGAGAGCCCAGAAACAGGTTTGTTTGGAAATCTAAACGGCTGTTGCTGTCCCTGGACTATAAAACGCATCCCAGCAGGGTGTGCTCCCACCTTGGCCGAGCCCTCGCCGCCCGGTGCGGGGCCGGCGGGTCCCCGCGTGCCGCGGTCTCACCTGGTGATCTCCTCCTTCAGAGCCGCGGGGTCCGTGGGATAAAACTTCACGCGGAAGCACATGGTGAAGGGAGGCTGGGCTGCAGCGAGAACAGCAATGCCGCCGTCACCAAACGGCAGGGCTTGTCCCCTCCGTCCTCCCCAACAACCCCGCTTGAGGAGACGGTGAGATATCACCGGGGGTGTCACCCGCCCTCCCCGTTACCCCCAAACACACCCAGCTGCCCAGCTAAGGCGGGAGCAGAGGGGCACGGTGCCGTTCCCCGCTGTGGTGGCCATGAGGAGAGCAGATGTTGCTGGTAAAGCCGTGGGGAAGTGCCCATGCCACCGTCTGCCGGCCACGCAACCCGCTCCCCGCTCGCCAGGAGGGCCCCGGCGCTGGCAAATCCCGCTTGGCTCATCCCCATCATTTCTGTGCCGGTCTCCGGCAGAGCCGGTGCCCCATGCCCACGTCCTGGGGGGGCCTCGCCAGCGGTGACCACAGCGGGACCGGTGGAGGATGGTCCTGCTTTCGACCCAGCAGAACACCTTTGTGGATAATTAAAAAGGTGCTTTTCCTGGGAGATGTGCTGGGAATTGACCCCAGAGGAGAAGGACTGGAGAAAATGGAAACACATCTGAGCTGAAAGGAGCAGATGCCGTCTGCCCGGGACTGCTGCTCGCAGCAATACTCACCCCTCATCTGCTTCACAACCGACTTGGTAAATTCCAGCCAATGCTGCAAGGAAAAAGAAGGCAATTAAAGCAACTCAGTAACAAACACTTTCAATTAATAACATTGACTCTTTGGGGCAAAATTAAAGAAACAAAAAAAACCCCTCTGCTTGAGGTAGAAGCCCATGCTGCGGCAGAGTCCGTGAGCTGCGGGGACTCGCGGGAGGCGTCTTCCTTCGCTCGAGGGGAGATGCTGTCCCCGGGGCCAGGTGCGGTTTTCCACCAGTGACAACAGCGCGGCCGAGTTCCACGGCAAAGGCATTCCTCCTGCAGCCTGAGCAACCCCCGCTCTCGGCGCTCTGCTCACCGGCCGGCGGCACGAGCGGTCACAGCAAGCTCTGCCTGTAGCAAAGCCTCCGCAGTAGCTGCTGCTGTGGTTTGACGGTGTTTGCGCAGGCACGTTTAGGGAACAAAGTGCTGTCAGCCGAGGAGCGGCTTCAGATGCCTCTGTGGAGGGAAGGGGAACCCCAAAACACCAAAGCAAAATGACTGCAGTTAAGGCGAACACCAGTCAGCCCAAAGGATTACACACCCACAAAGATGCATCACTGAAATCCGGGATTGCCATAGAAAGCGCTAAATATTAATGTCCACCACTGAGACAAAACCGGTGAGCGGTGGCTCCGTGTGGCTCCACAAACTGGGCTGGGTTTCGCTTGGGCATCTCTGGGTGCATTGGGCACCTGATGCAGATGTGCTGTCGGCAGCACTGCAAAAACCAGCGGCAGGGGGGGAGGGGGCCACGGCATACCCCGCTACCCGGGGGTCTGCTCCCTCACGTCGGTACCTCCCGCGACTGTGCAGACACAGCCCCTCGGGCGTGAGGCTTTGGGGCACCCAGGGGCGTGGGGCACCCCTGTGGGATCTGATGGCCACCGACAGCCCCGGTGCTCTGACAGCGGCATTGGGGATGGGGAACATCACAGAAGGTTCCTGTGGGAAAAGCCTGCCCCGGTCCAAGGAATGCACTGCGGGACCAAGGGAACCTTCGGGTTGTGATGGTCCCCACCACGCTGGGAAGAAGCACCATTGACTTTCGAACTGGGCTGAAATGGTTTTAGTGATGGCATCAGCATCCCCTGACCCGGACCCAACAGGGCGCCGGGAATCCATGGGTAAGGAGGCTGATTTCTTCTCTTTTTCTTCACTTTTCAGCATCTCTGCTGCCTGTGCCCCTGGGCTCTCAATAGATGTGTCTCACTTGTAGCCGCCGCAGGGCAGTGCGCGGGCTCCTCCCGG